CCTGGGAGCTGTTGAGTGTGATGTCAGATAGGTTCACTCCCTTGTGGTGAGTGAGTCTTGGCAGAAGAAGGGAATAGAAAGGAAGAAATCATAACTGGAATGTACACAAGATATAATACTAGTATAATGACTGCAAGACTGTGATAATGACTACTTCTGGGATTTATGCTTGTTAAAAAGCAGTAATACTCAAAACAGAGAAATGGGTTGGGGCATCATTGTGCCCAGAGTCCAGAAGATGGCCAAAAAGACCTCTTGACATTTCCTGAGCACACTGACCAGTGAGGGGCATATCGAGGTCTTCAACTCCCATCCCGCGCCAGCCAGGCCTCCCCCTTCACAGGACCCACATCTGGCTCCTGTTACCTGAGATGCCCAAGGCTCCAACAGATCTGCAGCCCCAGAGCGGGGCTCCAGCCCTCGTGGCAGACCAGGAGCCAGCGCGGCCAATCCCTCACTTGCACTTCCAGCAAGAAGTCTTTGCTGCTTATTCTGAAAGATACTGAAATCACAGCAAGAAAACCACATGGAGGACAATGGTGGTAGTGTGGGACAGGAAGAGCTGGACCCAGGACTTTATGGTACTTGAAGAGGCCTTGATGACAGCATCCGGATTACCCAGTGCCAAGCTCCCTGCTCCCCGGGAAGTGAGACCAGTCCCAAGAACAATATAACCCCTACTGGTAGAGCATTTCAGTTTTCTATTTTAACCGAGTGCTTTTAAGCGTGCTCTTAAGTGGTAACTCATTGTCCCAACAGCCCTGTGCAATGAGTACTGCCATCCTCTCCATTTTACAGAAGGAAAACTAAGGCATGGAGTTTAAGCAACTTCCCAAGATCACAGAGTCAGGAAGTGATGGATCCAGGACTTAAGTCTAGGTCCTCTGATTTCAAATCTTGTGATAATAATAGTTACCAGTTGTTGAGTGTATGCTTTTTCCAGGCTGTTATGGGCTGACTTGTGTCCCCCCCCAACAAATTCATATGTTAAAGCCCCAACCCTCAATGTGACTATCTTTGGAGATAGGGCCTTTAAGAAGGTGATTAAGGTTAAATGAGATCATGAGGGTGGGGCCCTGATCCAATAGAGCCAATGTCCTTATAAGAAAAGGAAGAAGGCTGAGTGTGGTGGCTCACACCTGTAATCCCAGCACTTTGGAAGCCTGAGGCGGGCAGATCACGAGGTCAAGAGGTGGAGACCATCCTGGCCAACATGGTGAAATCCCATCTCTACTAAAAAGACAAAAATTATCCAGGTGTGGTGGCATAGTCCCACACTGTAGTCCCAACTACTCGGGGAGGCTGAGGCAGAAGAATCACTTGAACCTGGGAGACGGAGGTTGCAGTGAGCCAAGATCACACCATTGCACTCCAGCCTCATGACAAAGCAAAACTCCATCTCAAAAAAAAAAAAGAAGAAGAAGAGGAAGCGACACCAGACAGCTCCCTCTCCTCAAGAGCACAGAAAAGGCCCTGAGAGGACACAGGCAGAAGACAGCCATCTACAATCCAGGAAAAGAGCCCTCTCTAGAAACTCAATTTGACAGCACCTTGATCTTGGACTTCTAGCCTCCAGAACTGTGAGAAAATAAATGTGGTTTAAGCCACCCAGTCTGTGCTACTTAGTCATGGCAAATCAAACAGACTACTACACAAGCTCTGTGCTAACATCTTTTTTTAGATGAGTTTCTTTTATCCTTACAAACTTATGCAGTAAATATTTGTATTTCCATTTTATGGAGAAGGAAACAGACGCTACAAGAAGTAATGTGCCCAAAGCCACACAGTTAGTCAAAGACAGACTCCAACCTTATTCTAATGAACTTATTCTAACCCCGAGCTTCTGGACAACATTGAACCTTCTGATCCCCAACTCTTACCTGGAGGGGAGGGGACAATCAGGGGAGGGAGATAGGGGGATGAAGTGGGATGATATTCCCAGACCCCTAGGTGACCCTGATGGTCACACACTGGCTCCCATACACACCTGACCCCTCTTCCTCCACATCCCTGGCTCACTCTACCCCACATGGCAAGTTTCCATCCCTCCTGCCATCCTGGTCTCCGGACCTTGCCCCAGCTAGAGATCGGGACAGTCCTCAGGGAGTCCCGAAAGCCCCAAATCAGAGATCACCTCTGCAAGGTGAGACCTTGTCACTGCCCTCACACTAGAGGCGGGAGAGTGTGTTCAATCCCATGTTTGGCATTGAACAGAAGGTCCTTCAGTGTTAGTCCTCTTGCCCCCAGTTGTGACGGGTCCCTGGCAGGGGAGGGAGACCTGTAGCCTTAGGGGTGTGGCCCACCTGTTTCGGGAAGTGCAGGCAGCAGAGCTTCCTCGCTGCTCTCCTCTGAGCAGCTCAAACTTATCTCCTCATCTTGCAAGGTCCCAGAAATGGGCTGAGAGGCAGCCGGCCACAGATATAGCACTTCAGAAAAGAACAAAGAGAAAGGGTCAAATTTCCAAAGAAGAGGTTCAGGGTGCTGACCTCCTCATCAACCATCTTGCTCTCAGGCAGGTCCCCAACTAATCTGCTGAGGAAGGGCACAGCGCTTCATCTCTCTCAATCTTGGCCTCTATCTCTGCCTCTTTGACTCTCCTCCTTCTCTCTCTCTCTGTGTGTCATTCTGTCTGTCTCTCTGTATGTCTCTTTCTCTGTGTGTGTGTACTCTCTATATCTCGCTCACTGGGAAAGATTTCCAGAAAAAGTCGGACTAAGGCCTCCTTGGATCATACACTTCATTCTTTATGCAGAGCCTAGATCCCTCTTGCTGCAATTTCACCATTTCTCCCCTTGTCTGCACAGAGTAGATGAAAACACTTGTCCCATTTACCTTAACACCTGCTCAGCATCTGCTTCTCCCTTCCAACTTCCCCCAGACCAGAGAAGGGCCCCCAGCACTGACCTAGGAGCCACAAGCCGACACCCACACCAGCCAGCAGCCCCAGGGCTCCCAGCACTGCACAGCCACGTCTCAAGGAGCACCAGCACCCCGCCTGAGAAACTGTGGGAAAACGCAGATGGGCATCTGGGTCTCCTGCTCCTGCCAGCCAGCCTTACTTCACCTTAAGTCACCACCGTGGGGCCAGGCACCCAGTGAACTCCAACAGGATACCCCCTCCTGCCCCATCAGCCCAGATGGGGAAGGAGTGGGGAGCAGGGGAGGATGGAGAGGGCCTGATCACTGAAGCCCACAAATCTCACTCAATCCCTGAAGTGGGAAATGGGGAGCAAACGCAGGTCTGGGGATAAAGAGAGAGACAGCCTCTCACCATCGTTTATGTGGGGCTGACCCAAGGAGGAGCCAGGGAATGTAGTACGATTACCCTCCACTGTCCCCACCCTGTCATTCCCCTGTGGCCCAGTCTGGCCTACCGGGATGCTGCTGGTCTCCAGGTTCTGTTCTGAAGATCCCAGGTCCTGGGCCCTCCTCTGCATACTGGGCCTCCACAGGGGCTTGGTCATCCAGCATCAGGTTCTGGGGAAGTAAGTGTCAGAGACCCAGGATCCCCACATCAAGGATTGCAGAGAGAAGTCACAGTCCAGTCCAAGTCCCTATTCTTTTATTTTTTTTGAGATGGAGTCTCACTCTGTCACCTAGGCTGGAGTGCAGTGGCACAATCTCAGCTCACTGCAACTTCCGCCTCCCAGGTTCAAGCAATTCTGCATCAGCCTCCTGAGTAGCTGGGATTACAGGCACGCGCCACCATGCCAGGCTAATTTTTGTATTTTTAGTAGAGACGGGGTTTCACCATGTTGGTCAGGCTGGTCTTGAACTCCTTACCTCGTGATCCACCCACCTTGGTCTTCCAAAGTGCTGGGATTACAGGCATGAGACATCGCACCCTGCCAAGTCCCCATTATTTAACCCCAGTGCTTCCACTGCCACTTGTAAACCTCTTTTCATCTTATGGACTCCCGGCATATTCCCACAGATACCTTGCCAGGCCTCCCTGTGCCCTCCTGGGACCCCTAACTCCACTGACCTTACTCTCATGTAGCCAGTAGTAAATACTTAAATGCAGATTCGGACCACTTCAAAGCCTGCACTCTTAGCCATTATTCATCTTTCCTCCCATAAACATTGAAGGCATCTGCTAATATCCCTCAACACCCTCTTTCAGCTTCAAGATCCCACCCGGTCTTCATTCCCTCCTAGCTCAGAGAAAGAAGTGCCCCTCCACCATTCACCCACCCACCCATGCATTCATTCCATAGATATTTGGTCTAAGTGCACAGGTCACTATAGGGGACACTACAGGGAGTTCAGGATAAACCAACATGGACCACTCCCCACTCTGACTGCCTCAAAGAACCTGTAGTCTGGTCCTGACGATAAGTCATGTAAACAAAGCACAATTTGTTAAGTGACAGAAGAAAAGTTCAGCTAAACTACCTGATATGGTTTGGCTGTGTCCCCACCCAAAATCTCATCTTGAATTGTAATCCAAATTGTAATCCCCATGTGTTGGGGTAGGGACCTTGTGGGAGGTGATTAGATCATGGCAGCAGTTCCCAAATGTTGTTCTCATAATAGTTAGTAAGTTCTCATGAGATCTGATGGTTTTATAAGGGGCTTTTCCCCTCTCCCCTCTGCACCTCTCTCTCCTGCCACCATGTGAAAAAGGACGTGTTTGCTTCCCCTTCTGTCATGATTGTAAGTTTTCTGAGGCCTGCCAGCCATGCAGAACTGTGAGTCAAGTAAACTTTTTGCTTTATAAATCACTCAGTTGCAGGCAGTTCTTTATAGCAGTGTGAGAACAAACTAATACAGTAAATTGGTACTGGGAGCGGGGTGCTGCTGTAACAATATCTAAATTTGTGGAAGTGACTCTGGAACTGGGTAACAGGAAGAGGCTGGAATAGTTTGGAGGGCTCAGAAAAAGACAGCAAGATGTGGGAAAATTTAGAACTTCCTAGAGACTTGTTAAATAGCTTTGACCAAAATGATGATAGTGATATAGACAATGAAATCCAGGCTGAAGTGGTCTCAGATGGAAATAAGGAACTCCTTGGAAACTGGAGGAAAGGTGACTCTTGGTATGCTTTAGCAAAAAGGCTGGAGACATTTTGCCCCTGCCCTAGAGATCTGTGGAACTTTGGTGGTGTTTTATTTTTTTTGTGGGGGGTTGTTCAACTTTATTGAAGCATAATGCACATTCAAAATATTGCATACATTTTAAGTTCTCAGATCAATAACTTTGACAAAGTTATACACCCACATGACCAACACAATCAAAATATAGGACATTAAGGTCACCCCAGAAATTTTCCTCCTGCCTTTTCATAGTTAACTTCTCACCAACCCACAGCCCTGGAAAATCACTGATCTGTTTCTATCACTGTATGTTAGAATTCCCTTTTTTATAGTTTTACATAAATGAAACCATGTCACATATAGTCTTTCCTTTTTTTTTGTTGCTTTACTTTAACTTTCAGGATACCTATGAAAAACCTGCAAGTTTGTTACATAGGTATACATGTGCTATGGTAGTTTGCTGTACCCATCAACCCATCATCTAGATTTTAAGCCCCACATGCATTAAACATTTGTCCTAACACTCTCCCTCCCCTTGTCCACCACCTTTCAACAGGCGCCAATGTGTGTTGTTCCCCTCTCTGTGTCCATGTGTTCTCATTGTTCAGCTCCCACTTATGAGTGAGAATATGTGGTGTTTGGTTTTCTGTTTCTGTGTTAGTTTGCTGAGAATGATGACTTCCAGCTTGATCCATGTCCCTGCAGAGGACATGATCTCATTCTTCTTTTATGGTTGCACAGTATTCCATGGTGTATATGTGCCACATTTTCTTTATCCAGTCTATCGTTGATGGGCATTTGGGTTGGTTCCAAGTCTCTGCTATTGTAAATAGTGCTGCAATAAACATACATGTGCATATGTCTTTAAAGTAGAATGATTTATAATCCTTTGAGTATATACCCAGTAATGGGACTGCTGGGTCAAATGGTATTTCTGGTTTTAGATCCTTGGGGAATCACCACACTGTCTTGAGATCTGTGGAACTTAAGACTTGAGAGAGATGATTTAGGGTATCTGGCAGAAGAAATTTCTAAGCAGCAAAGTGTTCAAGAGGAAACGGAGCATAAAAGTTTGAAAAATTTGTGGCCTGATGATGTGATAGATGAATTTAGGCCTGGCCCAAAAACCCATTTTCTGATGAGCAATTGAAGTCCACTGCAGAAATTTGCCTAAGTAATGGGGAGCTAAATGTTAAACACCAAGACAATGGGGAAAATATATCCAGGGCATGTCAGAGGCCTGCACAGCAGTCCCTTCCAACATAGGCCCAGAAGCCCAGGAGAGAAAAAGGGTTTGTGGGCCAGGCCCAGGACCCCACTATTCTGTGCAGCCTGGGGACATAGTATTCTATGTTCCAGCTGCATCAGCTTCAGCTGTGGCTAAAAGGGGCCAAGGTACAGCTCAGGTCATTGCTTCAGAGGGTGCAAGCCCAAGCCTTGGCAGCTTCCATATGATGTTGAGCCTACGGGTTCACAGAAGCCAAGAACTGAGGTTTGAAAACCTCCACTAGATTTCAGATGTCTGGAAACACTTGGATGTCCAGGCAGAAGTTTGTGCAGGGGTGGAGCCTTCATGGAGAGCCTCTGGTAGGGCACTATAGAAGGGAATTGTAGGGTTGAAGCCCCCACACAGAGTCCCCACTGGGGCACTGCCTAGTGGAGCTATGAAAAGAAGGCCACCGTCCTCCACACCCCAGAATGGTAGATCCACCAACAGCTTGCACTGTGAGTCTGGAAAAGCTGCAGGCACTCAACACCAGCCCATGAAAGCAGCCAGGAGCGGGGCTGTGCCCTGCAAAGCCACAAGGGCAGAGCTGCCTAAGGCCATGGGAGCCCATCTCTTGCATCAGCATAACCTGGATGTCATGCTTCATGTCATGACATGTAGTCAAAGAAGACCATTTTGGAACTTTAATGACTGGTCTATTGGATTTCAGACTTGCATGGGAACTGTAGCCCCCTTGTTTTGGCCAATTTCTCCCATTTGGAATGGATGTATTTACTCAATTCCTGTATCCCATTGTATCAGGGAAGTAACTAAGTTGCTTTTGATTTTACAGGCTCACAGGCAGAAGAGACTTACCTTGTCTCAAATGAGACTTCAGACTTGGACTTTTAAGTCTAAGTCATGAACAAGTTAAGACTTTGAAAGGCAGGATTGTGTTTTGAAATGAGAACATTAGATTTGGGAGGGGCTGGGATAGAATGATATGGTTTGGCTCACCCAATATCTCATCTTGAATTGTAATTCAAATTGTAATTACCATGCATCGGGGAGGGACCTCATGGTAGGTGATTGGATCATGGGGCAGTTCCCTCATGCTGTTCTCATAATAGTGAGTGAGTTTTCACAAGATCTGGTGGTTTTATAAGGGTCTTTTCCCTTTTTACTTTACACTTCCTTCTCCTGCCATCATGTGAAGAAGAACGTGTTTGCTTCCCCTTCCACCATGATTGTAAGTTTCCTGAGGCTTCCCCAGCCATGCGGAACTATGAGTCAATTAAACCTCTTTTATAAATTAACCAGTCTCAGGCAGTTCTTCATAGCAATGTGAGAACAGATTAATATACTACCATCATCATTCAAAAGAACGAGAGCTTACTTCTCATTGAGGTGACCACAGAAGGCTTCCTAGAAAAAGCAGCCTCTGAGACAGGCCCACATGGATGAAGATACATGCTCTACGGGCAAGGTGTTGGGCTGCTGCAACAAGTGTGAGGTATCAGCCCTACCTCCCATCCCCTACATCAGCCACAGCACAGGACCTGTAGGACTGGACCTCCCAAGAGCTGCAGACCTTGCTTTTCCAGGAGAAACAGAGGTACATGCACATTGGGTAATTCAGGCAAAGAGGATTGAATCAGCAAAGACGTGGCAATGAGAAAGCATAGAGCAGAATAAGTCATGAGTGTGCCTGAAGCTCATGAGCCATTAAGAAGAGTAATGAAAATAAGATCTTTAAAAAAAAAAAAAAAAAAAAAAAAGCTAGGTCTACAATCTACTATGTGAACTTACAACTCAGGCCATCTCTTCAAATATCAGTTTTCTAATTTGTAAAATAAGAGTAATAACTCCTATTTCTCAAGGAATAATCTCCCTCCTTGAGTGTCTTGTCTCTCTCTGTTATTCTCCAGCCATAAAGTCAGAATAATCTTTCTAAAATGCAAATATGAACATGTGAGCCCTATCTCTAAAATACCCCATGAGTCTTTGTGGCCTTCAGGATCAAACCAGAGCTCCATGGCATGGCTCAAAGGTCCTCCGTGATCTTACCCTGCCTCACCTCTCCATCCTCACTGCCAGCACTTGCTCCTTCCACAGCAAAACTTGGGGTCACACTGACATGCATGTCATTTCTCAGTGCCTTCAGGCACTCTCACAACGCAGAGACTTTGCATCTGCTCTCCCCCTTCCCCATGTAGCTGACTCCTACTGACCCTTCAAGACTCAGCACAGACATCACTTCCCCCAGAGCTTCCTTCAATGCATACAGCACTTGTTGGGCCCTATATTGTGCTCATGTACTTCCTTCTCTCTCCTTCCTCACTGGTTTACACGTCTCAGGGCTAAGCACAGGGCCTGGAACAAAGTGAGAATTCAGTTAAAGTACAGTAAAGGAGGAAAGGAAAGAAGGGAGAGAGGGAGATACAAATAAGATTATGTGAATTAAAAATAGCTTTATAAATTGTAAAGCCCAATGCAAATGTTAAGTATAATCATATTCATAAGAATTACACATAAGCTGTGTATCTTTCCCCCCAAAATTCATAATCCAGTAGGTTAGATAAGATCTCTTAAAACTGAAGCAACTTCCATTTCCCCTGCAGACTCCCACCTCCCTAGCATCTTTTCCTATCAACATGTAGGGTTGTACCCAATGAGGATAAAACCCTGAAACACTGACTCCAAAACAAAATTGGCTTAAATGTGATTTTCACGTGTCATATGAAATGTTCTTTTCACACCAAAATCTCCCTGATCATGTCTTCATACTTTACTGAACTAGTCCTCCTAACCCTCTGGCAGGAGGAAGGAAAGCCTTTGTCAGACTCACCTAGGTCAGTCACCTCCAAATTTCCCTGAAAATCATTCCACTGGACCCAGACCACCCATGCCAGTTCAGCTCACAGACAGGGCAGCAGCCCAATACCTTGCCTACAGAGTGAGGTAGCAGCCCCACCTCCCCATCCCCTACACCAGCCACAGCCCAGGACCTGTAGGACTGGACCTCCCAAGAGCTACAGGCCTTGCTTTTCCAGGAGAAAGAGAGGTAATGGTTTGTATCATACCACATGCATTCTTTCTTGTGCCTAGAGGTGAGACTCACAGGACACAGGCAGCAAGGCTGGAGGACAGCAGGCTTGGGAGAGCCAGTCAAGCACCCATAAGAGAGTAGAGAGGCCAGGCACGGTGGCTCATGCCTGTAATCCCAGCACTTTGGGAGGCCAAGGTGGGAAGATCACCCGAGGTCAGGAGCTCGAGACCAGCGTGACCAACATGGAGAAACCCCATCTCTACCAAAAATACAAAATAAGCCAGACATGGTAGTGCATGACTGTAATCACAGCTACTTGGGAAGCTGAGGCAGGAGAATCACTTGAACCTGGGAAGCAGAGGTTGCAGTGAGCTGAGATCATACCATTGCACTCTAGCCTGGGCAACAAGAGCGAAACTCTGTCTCAAAAAAAAAAGAGAGAGAGAGAAAGTAGAGAAGTGGCAACAGAGGGTGTCCCACCTCAGTGCAAGGAAGCTTGGCTTTAAACTTAGCCTCTGAACAAACTGGCCTCACCTCATGAACTGCCCACCTCAAAATTCAACAGCCCAAGTTCATGTGCTAGTCTAGAAAACATGGCCTTTAAAATTACAGGACTCCTTGCTCCGCTTTTTGAGTGAAAGTTCAACATAATAATAATTTGTTGAGCACCATGTATGTGCAAAGCACTTGATGTTCCTAAGAGGGACAAGAGAGGAGAATAAAAGGCAGTCCCTGGAGAGGAAACAGGAAATTGGCCACACGGGGCCCTTGCTAGGATCCAGCCCCTGTACCAGAGCTGTCTCAGGAGGCTTGCTCCACCAGCCTAGAATCCCAAGGGCAGAGTGGGGAGAGAGAAAGAAAAAGAGAGAGGCCACAGCAGGGATGGCACAGAGGCGCAGTCTTACCATAGGGGTCAGTAGCACTGTTGTAAAGCCTCAGGGTCTACTAGGCAGAGTTCCGCTCCTGTTTTCAGGCCAGCATTGATTAAAGCTAGCCCAGCAAGCTTGGTTGGAAGATGAGGTCTCCCTGGTTTACACACGGCCCCTCCCTTTTTCCCGTCTCCAACACACACAGACACGCGCCACAAAGACAATGAACTCTGCTCAGGACCCATGAATAGGCCCCTTGTTGCAGGAAAGGGGGACAAGGGCTGGGTTGGGCTGGGCTGGGCAGCCGCAGCCCCTCTCATCTGCTAACTGGAAACTCAGAAACAGAGGAAAAGATTATGGGGAGGGAGGAAGGCCAACTACTGTTGCTTAGCAACCGGGTCCCTTGTGCCAAAAAGTGTGCCCCATGCATGCTGGCAGAATTCTCCCTTCCTGCTGACAGGGCTGTATTGGGTAGACCGATATTAGCATTTGTTGAAATATTTCTGAGCCCTCTGGATTATGTCTTGCCTCCACGTGGGCTGGCTTTCCTAGCAGGCTGGAGCCATCACCATGCTGGAATTGTTGGGGTGATGATGGAAGATCTTTCTCACCTGTTGCCTCAGGGCCACATCTGTCACCCCAGTGCCAGGGAAGTGGGACCTCTCCCCCTTTCTACCCTGGGAGACAGTTGCAAACACGGGTGGGGCTTCCCTTCCTCCAACTGGCTTCTCAAAAGCCCCTCAAATGGAACAGTTAAGAATATAGGGTTTAGGCTGGGTGCAGTGGCTCACACCTGTAATCCCAGCACTTTGGGAGACAGAGGTGGGTGGATCACAAGGTCAGGAGATTGAGACCATTCTGGCCAGCGTGGTGAAACCCCGTCTCTACTAAAATACAAAAAAATTATCAGGGTGTGGTGGTGCACGCCTGTAGTCCCAGCTACTTGGGAGGCTGAGGCAGGGTAATTGTTTGAACCCAG